TCAAAGTTGCCAATACTTTGGAGGCCTTTTTGGATTTCATGGACAGTCCGAAGTGCCAGCCACAAACTATTACTAACTCTTCTAGAGACTGTATTTTATAATTTTAAGGGCCGGTAAAATACATAAAAGCATATTAAAAAATTGGCTTCACAAATCCATGCTTATTTTGTTTGGATTCAGGATCGAGCCACACATGTGAATATTGACTTATGCACAAAATTGAAAGAAAGAAAGGAACGGGATGTTATTTTGAGACGTGTGAGAAGCCTGTCTTCTATAACAACCGATGATTTTTTTTTTTCTTTGGCTTCTATTGATTTATAAAGCTGCACTAAGAAAGTGAGATCATAAATAGTGTTCTCAACCAAAAATCCACCATTTTGTTATATTTCCTAATCACAAAATAAACCTCCATTATCGTATAAAAAATTATAATACACCTCCAACCACTAACTTAACAATAACTCTGCACTATTGCAAACATATAAAGCTACACCAACCATCAGATGTCATATCCGATCAAGTAGCCCTAAGTGAAGGTGAAATAAATCATTTTCAATAGTCTCATCATGCCTAAGTGCCACGTCTCACGGCATAATTTCAAAAGAATCAGTATCTCTAAAGGATGTCAGTAGGTGTATCTTTACAACAAATTGTATAAAAGAAGGTACAATGACATCATTGTAAGAAAATGAAACCAAAACCATACGAAATGATTGGTCCCAATGACTAATTCCAAAACACATAAGCATAAGTCTATTTTAATGTATATTAATAAAACATATTATTATACACACTGAAAACAAAAATTACTATACATCTAAAGAGTAAGATCTCAAACAACTTAATATGTAGCATGATTCAAAATTTTGTACCAAACTTGTCCTAGACACAAACAACAACAATATAAGCAAAATTGGTTAATAAAATTGCAATTGATCATGCATGATGAGACTTTACTTCTTTGTTATTTGTTTACAGATTTATAGTAACAAAATCAAGATCATCAAGGAGATGAATTTGATAGAGCTGTTACCGTGGGTCTTGTCACACCGCCTCCACATGTTTCAGGGATGGTGTGACAAGAGCCACCAATGTGCAATGAGATCAATTGATTGCATGACCTTGCTTAATAGGTTTAAGGTCAACCTAGTCTATGTTGCAACATGAGAGAAATTGGAATCAACTGTATATAATTCTGAAACTGACTGGAGAGGTTTAGAAAGATTTCTTGGAGCTCTATTTGGTGGAGCGATTGTTTTGACCTATAAGATTGGTACCAAACTTGTCCCATACACAAAGAACAACAATAAAAGCAAAATTGGTTAATAAAATTGCAATTGATCATGCATGATGAGACTTTACTTCTCTGTTATTTGTTTACGGATTTATAGTATGTTAGGTGAGAACTTTTGTCTTTTCCGCCTATCTTAAAATTGTTAATATCAACTATATTCTCAAAGCTGTTATAATATTTTTTTAAATGATGAACGGTATAGATTCGAAAGTATCCAATGCCACATATAAAAATAAAAAATGTTAATATGAATAATAAAAATCGAACACGCGACCTTCAGATCTTTAGTCTGACGCTCTCCCAACTGAGCTATCCCCGCTTTTTGATAAATTTGTTTAAATGTTTAATATATTTGAAGGCTAATTTTGAATGCCTTGTATCTCAATATATAAAGTTCAATCTCATTACCAATCATTGATTTTTTACTATGGAAATAAGAAAATGGTAACAAATGCAGTAAAAGAGATTGAAACAATTTCAAAAGTATATGATATCTTTCAAGAAAAAAGGTTGTGAATGTGAAAAAAATGATAAGAACAAAATAAATATTAACATTTAATAAATATATTCTATATATACTTTTTAGTTTTAGACCTAAAACGTCTACAAAAATTCATGGTGTTAAGAATTTGTGTTGGGCTTCAATTCTAATGATAAATTTGGATAGAAACTATGTAAAGATCAAGATATATAGTATTAAATAATGTCATTGGAGTTCAGTATTTATTCGAATCTATGAGTTTATCTTGATCATATAATCTAGTAGTTTAGGAATTTACATTTGATGTTTATTAAAATGTAGAAATCAAATCGAATTCGAGTCTCCTATTGGTAAATTTCATTATGGCAGTGTTGTCGATTTTAGTCGTAATCCAGTTGTTTTGGTTGAGATTCAATCTAATACCCTTCTTTAAGTTAAACATGGTGGATTCTTTGCATATGTAATGCAAAACGAACATGAATTGAACATGAGGCCAACCATGTCCGGGTAATGAAAAATATATGTTATCCTCAAAGGGGTTGCGATTGGGTTTATGGGATTGTGGGGACAAAATGTGTAAATATCTAAAACCGTAGGACCCAACTATGAAAAAAGGAAGAAATTATGGAGAGTCGGACGAAGAAGGGAAAAC